CCCAACAGCTATGGGGCTCACTCCTTACTTTCTTCAGATTTCAGTCCCATGGCATCATCATAAAGGGCTTCCTACCCTATATAAAAACATTCCACCTGGCACTGGCCGGTTTGGCTCAGCGGTTAGAGCATCAGCCTGCGGACCAGAGAGACCCGAGTTTGGTTTGCAGTTTGTCCCTAGGCCCTGGTTGGGGTCGTGTGGGTGGCAACCAGTCAATGCGTCTCTCTAACATCGAGGTTTCTCTCTTCCTCTCTCTCCCTCCCACTCTATCTGAGATAAATGCAAAAATATCCTCAGGTAAAGATAAAAAGAAACAAACAAAAAAAAAACATTCCACCTGGATACACAAGACCTGCCACTTACTATCCCCCTACCCTGCCTCACATTCACCACCAGCTGTTCCTTTCCACACCTTTAAATTTTGTTTACTTGTTTATTTTCTCTTTCACTCCATTAGAATAAAAGCTCCTTTGTTTTGTTCACTATCACATCTTTACTTGGTGCCCAGAAAACAATAGGCATGCTGCAGGCACTGAGTCAATATCTGTTGAGTCAACAAATAAATAACTCATCCAAGTGTGACTTATTCTTGATTCCAGCAACTGCACAACCAAACATAACTGGATTTTAGTTTAACTATCCCAAGGTATACTTTAACATTGATTTTAATGAAATTCATACATTCCAAAAGTTAATGTCATTCCTGATACAAAAAGATCCACCTTTCTTGGCATTCAGATTTTTAAAAAATGACAACAAAAGAAATCCAAACAACTTGGAATAAGGAAGATTAGGCAAAAATCTAAATGGTTAAACTGCAAATATAGGTTTTGAAAAAATCAATTCAAAGCTTCCTGATAGTGATAAACCACAGAATAGTTCAGAGCAATGATTTTACCATAGTGAGTTAGCATAAAAAACCTTTTCAGTGGGGCCAAAATAGAAACTATTCCAGATTCAGATCAAGGAATGAAATTCACTGTCAGCAGGCTCAAACTTCATGTACCTATTGTATCCATCATTCCAGCTAAAAATGAGACATTAGCACAGAGTTGTTTACTCATCACATTCTGATCAACTTGAGCTACTAGGCTGTATCTCATGCATGTTTATACCCCCATCCCAGAGCCTGCACTTTGCCAAATATATACGGGTATCCCCTGCTTTTTGTTTTTATTCATTTATTTATTTATTTAATCCTACCTGAGGTTATTTTTTTCATTTATCTTCAGATAGAGTGGGAGGGAGAGAGAGAAACATTGATGTGAAAGAGACACACTGATTGGTTGCTTCCTGCATGACCCCGACCAGGGCTGGGGACTGGACCACAATCGAGTTAGTGCCCTTGGCCAGAAGTGAACCCGTGACTCATTGGTCCACAGGCTGATGCTCTACTGCAAAGCCAAACCAGCTAGGGCTCCCTGCTTTTTATTTATTTTTATTTTTTTAAATTAATTAATTTATTTTTGTTACAGATGTTTCTTTTCCCCCCACTGATTCCCCCCTCCTCCTCCCTCCCTGCCCTGTCCCCAGCTTTGTTGTCCATGTCCATTGTTCATGCATACCTGCATATGAGTTTTGTGGTTCATTTCTCCCCCCCACCCCCTCTTCTGGGGATTGTCAGTCTGTACCCCACCTCCATGTCTCTGGGACTACCCCATTTCTCAGACTGTTATGTTCACTATATTCCACAAATAAGTGAGATCATATGATACTTGTCTTTCTCTGTTTGGCTTGTTTCGCTTAGGATAATACTTTCCAGGTCCCTCCATGTTGTCTCAAAGGATAAGAGATCCTTCTTTCTTACAGATGCATAGTACTCCGTTGTGTATATGTACCACAGCTTTTTTATCCATTCGTCTACTGATGGACATTTGGGCTGTTTCCAGATCTTAGCTATTGTAAATAGTGCTGCTATGAACATGGGGGTACATGTATTCTTTCTGATTGGTGTTTCAGGCTTCTTGGGCTCCCCTGCTTTTTAAAAGTTCACTTTCTGAAAGATCTCTTATCCTTTGAAATGACATGGAGAGACCTGGAAAGTATTATGCTAAGTGAAATAAGCCAGTCAGAGAAAGACAAATATCACATTACCTCACTTATTTGTGGAATATAATTAACAAAATAAGCTTATGAACAGAATAGATCCAGAGACATGGAATTAGGGAACAGATTGACAAACCTCAGAGGGAAGGGGGGTGGGAGGGTTAGAAGAGATAAACCAAAAAACATGCATAACCAATGGACATAGACAACAGTACAGTGAAGGGGGGGGGGGGCAGAGTGAAGGGTGTCAGTGGGGGAAAAAGGGAGGAGAGCTGTAAAAAAAATTAATAAAATGAAGAAAAAATAATAGGATTCCCATTCTAATCTGAAAAAATAAAAAATAAATAAAAGTTCACTTTCTGCCACTTCATGTTTACAAATGACCTACATAAGTACTGTTTTCACTAACCAGAAGAAATTCGAAGAGGATTTTCATTTTTACCAAAAAAAGGCGAAATGCAAAAATAGCATTCATCGTTTTGCAGTGAGCCATTTTTGCAGGCAGTGCACATCTGGAGCAACGAATAGCACCACCAAGCTCCTTCCCCAGAACTACACTCAGCATCAAGCCCCATAGTTTTGAACTGCCTATGAGCATCTGTGCTTTATCTTGATTTATTTTGTGCATATGTTAGCAAGGCCTGTCCTAAGGTGATTACTTCGTCACTTTATACCATTTTGACTTAGACAAGGTTTCACAGGAACTCTCTCTTGGATAGGGGGAGAAACCTATATTGCTGAATGAATGATCACTGGTGATCAACACCTCCAATTATATCTCCATAGAAGTACCCATAAACTCAAGTACACATTACAGTTTAATATTTCCAGAACAATTTCTGAAAGCAAAATAATTCCCATAGCTACAGATTCTCTACTATGAGGCAATGTTAAAAATATTGTCCCAAATCTACTTATCTCATTCGTTTCTTAAAGAAAGAAAAGACAACTAAAAGCCAGCCTGCACAGCATATTTTCAGTTTCAAAGTATCACCTCACATGACGTATTAATTATAAAAGGACTAAGGTACCCTTAGAGTGGAGAGATCTAATAAACACCATCTTCACCAGACAATTACACTTAACAAACCGATGGTAAGTGCCTCCTGATATGATCCACTGGAAAGCGGGTAACATCACCTATGTGGGTAGTATTCTGACTAGAAATATTTAATCTGAATGTAATCATGAAGAAACAATTAGATAAATTTAGATTGTGGGACAAACTGAGACACAATTAGCCTGGACTCTTCAAAAATATCATTCTTAAGACAGATGGAGAAACTGTTCTAGATCCAACTAGAATCAAGAGACATGAGAACTAAATGCAAGGTGTGATCCTTGATTAAGTCCTCAAATAAAAAAATAAAAATAAAAGGGAAAAGGCTACAAACAATATTCTTTGGACAACTAGGGAAATTTAAATAAGGTCCACACATTAGATAATATTCTATCAATGTTAAATTTCTAGGGTGTGATATAGTTTTTTTGGCTATGACAAATGTCCTTGTTTTAAAAGATCCAGACTAACATATTAAGCATCAAGTGCCATCATTTCTGTAACTTCCTTTCAAATGGTTCTACAGAAAGTAAAAATGTTGTGTATACATACATATAGAAAGCAAAATAATCGAATTATGAAACAGTGTATGGGTATTTGTTATACTATCATTTCAATTTTTCAGTAGGTTTGAAAATTTGCAAAATAAAGAGTTGGGGGGGGGGGAATAAAGAAACAAAAACAAACTAATGTGATTTCATAGTGCCTTCGGACTGCATGGACATTTCATTTTTTGGACAGTGTCTCCAGAGTGCCATATTATCAAAATTTTGGGCATGATGTCAAGCTAATATCTGCATCTGCCCCATTACCAGCTATTTCACAAACCTGTCAGGGAAAATACTAGACAGGTAATACATAGCAAGTCCCGGGTGTGCACTGAATGGCGCCTGGCAATCCCTGCCCAGTGGATGAAAAAAATCACAGATGCCTTGTCCACAACTGCAGTCAGTAATCCAATCCTTCCTTTAAAGGTCTCAGGCCTCTTTCTCACTTTGTTTACTAGGTCAAGGTATCAGTTTAGTTGGAGAGCCCAACCTCAGCCTTCAATCGCCAGTGTTCTGTCTTCTGGTCTTTAAAGATCCAACACATTAACTGTGCTCTCCCTTGGGAGCCTGTTATTAGCCTTCGCAAGTAATTTTTTCTCTCGGCTTCTGGAGCACGGATAGCTTTCTATCTTGCATTATACATTTTAAAAACCCTTCTATTAGGCCCAGGAGAAGCTCCAATGGGGGTAAAAAGAGTTTAAAAAGAAGCTATGCCAAAGATCTTGAACGCGGGAGACTCGGCAACAAGTCTCAGAAAGTGTTTCCTAGAAGGAGAAGCTGGTGGAGTGGGTGGACTTGGACAGAGGTGCGAGCAATCAGCAGACAACCTCCTGGCGAAGAGGAAATGGACTGGAAACAAAGGGAGTGTGAGTTCCGAGTGGCCCTCAGCCTGGCCGGGACGATTCGGCGTCGAGCTGCGAAAGCCGAGAGGCCGGCGCGGACCAAAGGAGCCAGGCGCATCCTACGCCCTAAAAAAGTAGGGGACGACCACCTCCACGGCTCTGTCGAGTTCAAGTCTGAACCTAGGGCGTTTGGAAACTCCAAAGCGCAAGACTAGTTCGGGTGGCGCCGAGCTCCCTTCATTGACGGGTACCCCGCAGCCTCTCCTTCCGAACTCACCCCCTGCGCGGCATTGGGGGAGGGGACGCTAAGAGGCCGGCGAGGAAGCGACGGGAGAAGGCGCAAGAGCTCCCAGCTCTGGGCTGAGGGAGCGGGACCCTCCTTAGGGAAGGAAAACAGCCCCCGGACCGCGGGGCGCCAGGACCCAGTTTGCACTCGGGGGAAAGCCGCCTGCCCCACCGTCGGGCGGCCGCAGGGAGCACAGAACGCAGGCGCGGGGCCGGTACCTGGGAAGGAGCAGAGAGAAGTGGAGTTCGGACACAGGGTCCCGTTGCCCACTCGCGGAACGAGCTTCAGGCTGAGGATCTGCTGCAGGAGCCTGGCCGACCCCTCGCTGCCGCCGCTGCCCTCGTGCTCCATCCCACCGCCATTCACCGCAGAGAGATGAGGGAGAGCGCCCGAAGTGTTGCTGTGGTTCGCTCTCACTTACAGACAGCTCCGCTCCCGGTATCTCCGCCGCTTCAGCTTCACCTTCGGCCCCGACCCTCTTCCTCCTACCCCAACGGCGCTGTCAAGTGATGGTCCCTTCCTCCAATCAGAGCGCGCTGCAGATGGCAGGGGCGGGGCGAGAGTTGTTCCCGCCCCCTACGTTGCGTACGGCTCACGGAGACAGGACACCCACGGAATACGCCCCCTACTGGGAAAGTCCTTCTCCAGTAGGGCGCTCGGCTCTGCCTTTCTCTGCAGCGCCACCTATAATGTAGTAGGGGAATTGCATACGCCCCAACTGACCAAGATGTAGATTTAAAGTGACCTAGCAATGAGAATGGTTCAGCAACAAAGTGAAGGAAGCTGGAAGACAATGCAGCAATAACTTCAGTATTTGGGGGGGAAGTGATTTTTTGAAAGCTTAATTATTTACTTTAAATTTCAAAGCATTGTGCAGAAAATACATAATATTTTTCTTTTTAATTCAAGATGATTAGCAAGATTATTAGAGTTCCCTCTTGAAAACCTTTTTTAGAAGCTTTTTAATACCATTTCTCTAACACTACAACTGGGATTTAACATCAAATCAAGAAAGTTTTCTAAAACAAATATAGTAAGTATAAAAAAGGTCATGAAATATTTAACAGTGAGATCTTTTGGTACATTTCCCAGACTAGCAGTGTGTATAAGAAGTGGAAGAGCCCTGGCCGGTTTGGCTCAGCGGTTAGAGTGTCGGCCTGCGGTCCTGAGAGACCCGGGTTCGGTTCCCGCTAAGGGCACGTACCTCGGTTGCAGTTTGTCCCCGGCCCTGGTTGGCTGTGCGGGTGGCAGCCACTCGATGTGTCCCTTCACATCGATGTTTCTCTCTCTCTCTCTCTGTTCCTCTCTCTCCCTCCCACTCTACCTGAACAAAAAATGGAAAAATGTCCTCGGGTGAGGATAAAAAAAAAATAAAATAAAATAAAAAAAAATAATAATAAAATAAAGAAGTGGAAGAAACCAATTATTTTAAGGTAATATAACAATCAATCATGTATCACATTAGGAAACATTATCTTGAATTTAGAATTCTATCCCCAAATTGTGAATTGAGAGATAAAAAAAAAAAAAAAAAAAGACATTTAGGCCCTGACTGGTTTTGCTCAGCAGTTAGAGTGTAGGCCCATGGACCAATGAGTCATGGGTTTGATTCTGGTCAAGGGCACATATCTTGGTTACAGTTTGTCCCTGACCCTGGTCAGGTTGGTTCATGCAAAAGGCAACCAGTCAATGTATCTCTCTCTCACATTGATGTTTCTCTCTCTCTCTTTCTCTGTCTCTCTTCCTCTCTCCCTCCCTTCCTCTCACTCTGTCTGATGATAAATAAAAAAAATATCCTCTGGTGAGGATTTTCAAAAGAAGACATGTAGGCTTTCAGGACTCAGAAAATGTATGTTTCATGTGTCCTTTCTAAGGGAGCTGAGTAACTCCCAGTGAAGTTAAAGAGTGATAACCAAGAAAGAGAAAGATGTACAATCCAAGAAATGGTAGATTTAACCAGGAGGGTTAAACTGGCTTCTGTGCAGTGGTCCTAGCAGCCACCTAACCAGATTAGAACAGAAAGAAGAGTGTCCCTAGGAAGAATAATGGAATTGATTTCAAATGATAGACAAAGTGGTTAAGAAGCTCAGATGTTTAATGGCAGAGTGAAGAAGGTACCTGTTTCTTCTCTCAGTGAGAAAAAAACTGAAAACCAATACAAACTCCAGGAAAAACACAAACCTACAAGAAAATTGTGAAACAAATATAAAGCAAACAAAAACTAGCTTTTTGTTTTAGAAATATAACTTCTTTCACTTATAGTGAAATGCAGAACTATAAAACTTTTAGAAAATAATGTTGAATATCTTTATGGTCTCTTTCTGGTGAAGGAGTTTTTAAACTAGATACAAAAAGCAAAGACCATAAAGGAAAGAATTGATGAATTTAACTACTTTAAATCAAGAACTTGTATTATTCAGGAGTTACCATAAGGTAGAAAGGCAAACCACGAACTCAGAGAAAATATTTGCAGTAGATATAACTGACAAAGGAGTAGTATTCAGAATATCACTCCTAAAAATCAATAAGAAAATGACAAAGAGACCAAAGACCTGAATTAGTACTTTATCAAAGAAAAAATACAAAGAGCCAACAAAACTAGAAATGATGCTTAACCTCATTATTAATCAGTGAAACACAAAGTGAAATCACAATAAGATACCATCTGTCAACTTCTCAATAGCCAAAAGATTTAGAAGTCAGAGAATGCCAATAGTTGGTGAGGTTGTAGAGCAACTGAGACTCTGGAGGTGTAAACTGATATAACTGTTTTTGGAATAATGTTGAATAAAGATGCTCACGATCCAGCAATTTCACTCCCAAGTGAATATTTTATAGCATCTGTACCAGGATATATGTGCAAGATCATCCCTAGCAGCACTGTAACATCAATTTACTGAAAACAAGCCAAGTGTCCATCAAGAAAAGAATAATAAAATTGTGGTATAATTTTTTATAAAATACAATTCAGTCGTGGAAATAAATGACCAAAAACTGTAAGAACAACATGATGACTCACAGGAATATAAAGTTGGAGGAGAAAAGCTAAGTTACAGAGAAGACACATATAATTAGATTTAAATCCAGTTAAAAACTTGAACAGTTAGCAATATATTAAAGCAGGACATTTACTTAGGCAGCAAAATTATAATAAAATGTTAATTTAACTGGATACTTGTTCTATTATTATTAATACTTGACATATCTGTGAAATTAAACTTATATTTATTTATTCAACTAAGTAGGGCAATAGAATGATAGTGGCCTTGGACACCCTATGTCTCACTCCAAGTAAAAATCAAAGTTCTCACCAAGGTCTACAAGGTCCTACATGACCTGACCACCTCTCTCTTACCTTTTCTTCTCATAGCATTCTACTTCCGCCCACCACACAAGACCCATTAGCCCCTTGCTGTTCTTCTAATATACCAGATACTTCCCCTTCTTAGAATTTTTGTTTGACCTATTTCCTTCTCCAGGACGCTCTACCCATAGTTACCCCTTAATTTACTGCATCACCTCCTGTAAGACTGTGCTCAAATGTCACTTTCTCAGTGAGACCTACCCTAATTATCTCATTAAAAACTGAAAATCACACCCCTACACACATGCATCCCTAATCTTCATGATCCTTTCCTACTTTTGCCCTTAGCACTTGCTGGTGCTCAATCCATAATGTGTATTGAATGAATGGAATGGAGGTATGGAGGACATGAAGCCTGGGATCAGAATAGCAACAAAATTGCAGGACCAACTAAGATCTGTCTTATCCCAAGGGAGAAAATACACATTCGGCTAAAGGACTTGCTACCCTGGGAACTTTCAAAGTCCTGTCTGTGGTAGTTGCTTCAGTCTCCCCTCCCATTTCAGCAGCACTCCGACACCCTCTTGAGAGTACCAAGGCTTTTTTGCTCCAGTTCTTTTTTTTAGACTTTTTTATTTTTTAAGAGCAATTTTAGGTTTACAGCAAAATTGAGAGGGAGGCATAGATTTCCCATATACCTCCTGCCCTCACACATGCATAGGATAGGCTCCCCCATTGTCAACATCACTCACCAGAGTGGTACATTTGTTACCAAAGATGATGCTGCATTGACACATCACAACAACCCAAAGTCCATGGTTAACCTGAGTTCACATTTGGTGTTGTACATTCTGTGGGTTTGGACAAATTTATAATGACATATATCCATTATAGCATAGAGTATGTTCACTGTGTAAAAATCCTCTGTGCTCCATCTATTCATCCCTCTTCTCCCTATCCCCAACCCCTAGCAACCACTAATCTTTTTACTGTTCCTATAATCTTGCCTTTTCCAGAATGTCATATAGTTGGAATCACACAACACATAGCTTCTTCAGACTGGCTTTTTAAACTTACAAATATGCATTTCAGGTTCCTCCATTTCTTTTCACGTCTTGATAGTTCATTTTCATTTTATTTAAAAAAAATTTTTTTATTGATTTTAGATAGAGAGGAAGGGAAAGGGAGAGAGCAAGAGCGAGAGCGAGAGCCAGAAACATCTATGAGAGAGAACATTGATTGGCTGCCTCCTGCATACCCCACACTGGGGATTTGGCCCACAACCTGGGCATGTACCCTGACCAGGAATTGAACTGGCAACATTTTGCCATGGGTTGATGCTCAACCACTGAGCCACACTGGCCAGGCTTGATAGCTCTTTTTTTTTTAATCCTCACCCTAGGACTTTTTTTTGCATTTATCTTCAGATAGAGTGGGAGGGAGAGAGGAAGGAAGGGAGAGAGAAACATCGACTGGCTGCCACCTGCACGACCCCAACTGGGGCCAGGACGAACTGTTACCGAGATACGTGCCTTTAGCAAGAACCCAACCCGGGACTCTCTGGTCTGTGGGCTGATGCTCTAACTGCTGAGCCAAACCAGCCAGGGCTTGATAGCTCATTTTAAAGCACTAAATAATATTCCATCAGGTAGGTGAGAATAAAAATGATTGGTTTAACCCTGTATAGGTAAGGGTGGGAATTGATGACAAGGTCATTTTTTAAAATTTTATTTTAGAGAGAGAAAAAAAGAAACATCACTGTGAGGGAGAAACATTGATTAGCTGCCTCCCACACCCCACACCCCACACCCCACACCCCGCACCTAGACCAAGATCTATCCCACAACCTGGGCATGTGCCCTGACCAGGAATTGAACCTGCTACCTCCTGGTGTCTGGGACGATGCTCCAACCAACTGAGCCACACCGGCCAGGGCAACAAGGGCATTCTTGACACTGTTCATGATAAGATAAATTGGTACTCCATTTTTAGAGTAATTTGACAGTTTCACACTCCAAACATGAATGCTCTTTGATCCAGCAGTTCTTTTAGGACTGCTACAGATGGCAAACTCGGTCATCCTGGGGGTTTCTTCCATCCCAAGAGCCTGGATTTCCCAGGAGTATGTCTTTTGTTTTGTCAAGGAACCTGATTCCAAG